TCCAAATCTCACATCTAGAGGCTTCGTGAAGTATTTTTCTGGTCTCACAAGACCTTTCAGATTTGAGCCAGCAGAAATGCACAAGATTTTGTACCATCAGATAAAATTTCAATGAGCTATCAAAAACATATTTTGCTGTATGGTTTGAGTCTATCTTGATATTATGAATCATAAAAAAGTAAATAAGTTGAGAAAATTAATTAAAAAAGGAATGAACAGAACATATATACTGTAATGAAATGGTTGTAAATAATAAGGCTTTCTAATTATCAAATAAACTTTTCACTGTGTTTTCCTTTTTTTTTTTTTACCTTTCCCATAAAATTTCACCTGAACACAAGATCAAATATAAAAATCCTATCAGATGAAACTTGGAAACTGATCAAAATCAATTGAAAACAAAAATCTCCCAAGTAGTTAAAAAGAGCTTCAAAAAGCAGCTCTAAAATTCTTTTCAACATTGACAGACTTAAAAATATTACATTAAATCTTTAGAGAAAAAAATTCTATTGACATATCAAGAAAATTTATCTTTTCAAAGGATCTCAGCTTGTTTGCTAAATTATTTGTATACTGAGACAAAGTCAATTTTGTCAAAAGAAATTTGCACTTTTTATAGAATATGGATGATAAACTGGATTACTTTAAGAAATTGGTTAATTTAACCTATAAATTTTTCTTCTTGAACCATTCTAGTGACAATTGTGAGAAAAATTAATAATACAAAGGAGTTCTGAAAAACTCTTAACCCAATCAAGAAACCCTTCTAAAAATAAAAATATTTGATGTCTGCTCATTTGGTTAGATTTTGGGAAACAGAGTTATGCCAAAGCTTTTCAGCATTTTGTACATTACTTTTGCATAAAGAGTTTCCTATTACATTAAATGGGTTAATATATATTCATAATAAATATTTGATATTGGTGTTTATCAAGTTAAATGGTGATCACAATTTAAAATTGACTAATCAGATGCTTAACTTTTTGTTAACAATGAACACAATTATATCACTATAGCCTTTTGTTATTAAATGTACATTGGCAATTTTCTGACACATTATGAATACAATGTTGGCAGTTTTAAATCTATTGTGACATAAGTAGATAATTGTTATAAATAAAAGTATTAAAAAGCACATGTTGCATTAAGAAAAATATTTACCCAAATACATTTTGTGGATTTAGTATTTGTATAGATAAATGCTCATTTTCTTCATGTTCATGTAAAATGAGTACCCAAAACCTTTTGAATATTTTTTAAAAACAACAGAAATACTTGTTTTGAACCTAGCAGGTGATATGATAATGATATGTTATAATAAATAAAATAAAGAGTAGATAACATTCATCAATTCTGGCTAAAAAGAAGAAACTGAATAGAAAGTTTTTCTAATTATTTATTGTTGTGAAGTCCGAAGCCCTTCATGTTACTACTAAATGCTCATGCATAGTAGTTTTCCTTCTCCTAATCAGAATAGTTATATAGCCTGTGTATTCCAGCTATGTTAATTGGTTAATCTACATATTACCACGTTTATAAAGTTATATAAAATGTTACAAGGCCAAAACTTCCCACTTCAAATTTCCCACTTTTATTGCAATATAATTCTCTTTATTAAAAAACATCCAAAAATAAAATATACTTTTCTGAAGCTTTATTTGAGGAATATTAGCTGATTTAAAGTATAATTTATCTGATTTGAAACAAATATTATTTACTTTAAGTTTAAAATGCTCCTTAAATGAATTTTTTAAGCAAATGGTAGCTGTGTTTTTAAAAGTAGCCATGTTTACATGTTTTGCAAAGTGACAACAGATTGATTGTTGCTCTTTCTATAAAAAATAATTTAAGAAAATGATGTGGATGCCTTTTTTATATAATTAAGTAAACAAATAAAGTAATCAGTAAAGATGTCAGAAAATATTCTCCATCATTTAATTTTAGGAATGTTTATTTTAAATTTACTATAGTAAATTATTTTCTAAAAATGTTGTGTATGGTTCAGAAATGGGTACATTACATAATATATTTTATATACGTAAAAAAAAAAATTTCAATTATTTTAAAAATTTTGGTGGATAATGATTTGTATTAAGCTTTTCAATTTTTGATTAGTAAATATAGTTTTCATTTAATAACAGTATGACCTAATAAAATCAAAGTAATGCAGAAATTTAAATTTAATTTGCAATGTTACTTTAAAGTGTGTTTCTAATGCTGATCATCTCCTGTGTCTGGATTGCCACTTATGAAGAAGCATGCAAAATACAAGTCACATCACAAGGACAAATTAAGACTGATACAAGATTTCCTGTCGTATGAGTGGTAGAATGAGAACAATTTACTCCCATGGATTGAATAAAGGATTTGGTTCAAAATTACTGAAAGGTTAATAATTATGCCAGATCCCTGAAGAAGGCCAGGGGTATAATTGATGAAACATTATTACTAATTAGTCAAAAAGAGAGTACTAATTAGAATATGGCTGACCACTCATATCAGAGTATACCTGCCTGTTAGGGTGGCTAGGTAATCCCTGTTGCAGATGCCTGCACAGGCATATTTGTTTTTGTTCATCACCCAGAGAGCCAACCTCTTGTTGATACTGCAATTATGCTGAGCACATCTTAGTTCCAGTTTCTTGTTGAAAGTGCATAATCTGCCATGATCAACTGTTTGAACAAAATCAGTATACTCAAACTCTTGGTCACAATGACTTTTGACTTTGTGCTAGCACAACTATTGACAATTTCTGAAAAGTTAAGTCTACTCAATTTCATTCACAAGTCTAGTTTACAGACATTTCCCAGAGTTTCTACATATGCTGGGATCATTTCTATCCAGGCCAATATCATCAAAAAGTCACCTCCCTGACAAATCCAACATGGTGTGACTTGAATACAGGTTTCATAGTCAGAATGCTAATCACTTGGCTACATGCCCACACTAATCAGTGTTTAATTTGGTCTCCCAATTCTTTTTCTTATAGTTGACTATAGATATTATATATAAGTGAAGACATATTAACACTGTATGGTGATTGTCGGTTTCATGCCTCAAGCAATCTTCAGGTCATTTGTCACTACTCCTTATGCAGGCTCTATATAAGGGAGTTTATGGGACATGTGGGAAGGGGAAACCAATACTTCTCAGTTCTGTTGGTTTTTGTTGAATGTTTTATATTATTTATAGTCCTGACCTTTACTTGTTTTATTTATTTTTGTAAATTTTCTAGGATTCTAAATTTTGGTATTTGAAAAGAATTTATTAGATTTAGGTTATGGGATATCATTTAGTCTCTTAAGCCATGATGTGGTTGTATAGTAAGAATTTGTTTTCAGGAAATGAGCTCTGATCTTTAGTTTTTAAATTTATTGACTTGGAACAAAAGTTCATAGCATTTTTCAATAGGTAACATTTGAACACATAACTTTGTTTCACATATGACTGAAATATATGACACATATGCATTTTGAAAGGTAACAGTGCGATGCAGCTTTTTGTGCAATTCATGCAATAATTGTGAATTTTAAATGAAAAGTGAAATGAATGAAAATGGAATGCAATTTCATTATTTGATGCTCTTATTTCCAGAAAGAAAAATACACTATACAAACAGCAAAAAAGATATATCATTTATAGAGATTATACCTGAGAGCACTGTTCGTAAGTGATTTACTACATTTAAAAGTGGAAATTTTTATCTGTAAACTGAGAATGTTCTGGTAGTCCTGCAATCATTGATGATGACCAAATCAAAATGCTAATTATAAAAATAATCCAGGTCATATGACACAAGATATTGCAGAAATACTCCATTTGTATGAGTGCTGTAAGACATTTGAAAATACTTGGCTATTATAATTCACCACAATGTGTGCCTCAAATTTAATGGGCTGCATTTGCATCTGAAATTCTCTGCTCAAATACAAAAAAAACATTTCTAAAAAGAACAATTGCAGTTGATGAAAAATTAATCATTTACAATAATGTAAAATGAAAAAGGTCCTAGGAAAAATGAAACGAGCCATTGTTAACCATTCTAAAGCCTATTCTGCATCCAAAGAATTGGAAAGGCGTTGTGTATTACGTGCTCTTTCTGCAAAATCTGATGCTGAATTTAGATTGTGCTGTTCCCATGTAGATTGATTAAATGCAGCAACTGATGAAAAACTTCTGGTACAGTTTGGCTGCGATGTCCTGTTACACCCACCATACTCATCTGATCTTGCACCTTCAGATTACCACCTATTTTGATCCTTTCAAAATTTTCTTAATGGGAATAACTTCAATTCTCTGAAAGCCAGAAGAGTTTATCATCCAAAAGGATGCCAAGTTCTAGGAGAATAGAATCATGAAGCTGCTTCAAAGATGGTGAAATGTAATGGAACACACAGCACATATATGGTTGAATAACTATGTACAAATATTTAAATAATGTCTTTGAAAATCACTTAAAAATCACTATAAACTCTGATGCAATATATTGTTCTGAAAAATTGGTATTTTCTCCTGTAGGTATTTTTTTCAACTTGGTAATTTCAATCAACTTTGTAAACTAGCTTCAGTTTATTAAATATCTTAAGTTACAATAAACAATTTCATTGATGTTTGCTGTTGAGTAAATTTTCTGAAGTTTAAGTTTCAAAATCAAAGATTTATTTTTCTGAAATAAGATTTGCTTAATAAATTTCTGCTAGTAAAATTGTCAGCTTCAGAAAATGTAAAGCAATATTATGATATACTAGGATATGTATAAAAACAGTATAAATTTGAACAGTCAAAAAATAATTGAACCAGACTATCAAATTTCTTGAAATAGAATTTACTCTTAATTCAAAAATGAAAGAGTAGCTTGAAAAAAAAAATGAAGATAATTACAATGTAATTCAAAAAGTTTTATGGATTACAGAATAAAGTATAATTAGTTAACATAGAAAACAATAATATGAAAGTATTTTGAATTGAGTAAGAACTAAAAGTTATGGAGATATACTTACCATTCCTTCAGGTGTTGGAGTAACTTCTAAGAATTGAAGACCAAAGTAATCCTTTTCTATGAGCTCAAGATGGTCATAGACTTTATCTAACAGTGTTTGTGCTTTACTCCTTTTCTGAAATAAAAATAAAAAGTCCAAATTGAAGTTAAAAATGAAAAGAAAATCAAATAAACTGTTTCATAGCTATAAAACAATTACTACAACACTGAGAAATTCAGCATATAAAATACAGTCTGTTAGATATGATGTAATAAGTTAGTAGGTCTGATCAGCATATTTGCTACTATTTCTTCTTGTTTATAATACCTTATTTGGTTATAACAATGTTACAGAAAGAAACAAACTCAAGCAATCTCAAAACAGCTCAAGTTTAGATTCTAGGAAATCTACAAATCAAAATAGACATAAAAAATTATTATACAAAAGGGCAAACAATAGCTTCATACTAAAAAGTAAAAGATAAAATGTTATTTTTTAAATTATTTTAGAATAAGAATTTTTTCACTTCTTTAATATTTAAAACTAGCTTAAAAGGCAGCATTTAACCTAGCTCCTTTATCACATTAGGTAGGGAGGAGTAGACGTGACAGGCAACAATAAATTACAAAAGAACTCAAAATTGATCACTGCATTTAAGTATTGCGTTAATATTTAAGCTTACCTGTTCAATGATAATCTTTCTGCCACCACTTAATTTAAAGACAATTTGATGTACTTTCTATACAACATTTTTATTTCATGGGTGACTTTCACTGGTTTTCACAATTAATTTTGATTATTCCCAAATTTATTTCTAAGTTATAAAAATTTGTTGCAAAAAAATTGTGTAAAAAATTGCTGAAAACAATTGCAGTTATGAAAACTTGGGAATCCAAAATTTCAGATTGCGATACCAGAATGTTTTAATTTGCTCACGCAGTTGACCTGATTCCAAAATTGTATGATATATTGGGCTACGGCCTTAAGGAGTAAATTTGAAAACAAAAACAATTTTATTTTGAAACACTGTAATTTGAGAACAGTATTTTTTTCATTTGAATATGATCTATTGAAAGTTAGAGAGTTGTGTCCTTTTAATTGTTTTTATCAGTAGAAACTAAGATGGCAGAATCTGTAAACAATTGCTGTAATAAAAACTTTGGAATCCAAAATTTCAGGATTGCAGGTCTGGAATGTTTTTACTTTACTCATGGAGTTGGCCTGATTCCAAAATAGTATATGTTTTGTTATGGAATCTAAGAGTACAGGTGGAAAAGTGTGACACAGTGACATTCACATTTATTATATAAATGAATTTACAACACAATCGAGAATTTCCAGTGTAAAGCTTTCAAAACCATTAGCATACTTCAGAAGCTTTTCCAAATAGTCAGAAAAATCCTACAGGTTATTTTCTATTCCATATCTTTCATCTAGCTCAGAAAATTTAGATAATTTGTGATGACTTCAATTCTGATTGAATAAAACTATCTTTGCAATAAAAGTAAACAATAAACTTCTTAATAACAATTATATTCTCTCACTGCAAGAGTATGTTAAATGGTACAAATAAGTCGAATAAAAGTATTTTCACTTATATTTTGCCTTATATTAATTGCTATAAACAAACTTGAAATTTCCATAACCTCTGCTAATGCCACACACGCACAACAAAAGGCATCTATAATTACATTATTCACAATATCAAAAATTCAAGAACATTATACAAATTAAAATTTTGTAGATTTAGTATTAGCAGATTTTAAAGTATTTCACTCTTTTAGGCATTAATTTTATCAGATTTGTTATTTTCAAAGCTTATCATTAACTAGATTGCAATGAAAAAAAAGAAGAAAATCTTTAGTAGATTTGCTTGACATTATTTTATAATATAAATATTTCATAATATAGATATGGTCAATAGGATTTCATGTGATGAGATTGACTTGGCTTTTTGGATTTAATAGTCTCTTGATTTTTTTCTTTCTTTTTTTTTTTGTATGGTGTTAAGCTCTATCCTCCATGAAAAAGGTGTTGCTTTTATCCAAATAACAATTGGTGAATGTTAATAGAAGCTCTTCTTATAGAATGAATATATTCCTGAATTTATATTCCTCACATGATCTAAAAAATTAGGGTGAGCACTGCTTAAAATTGTTCCATACCTTATAACTAAAAATTCATCATGACATCTCTAGAATTATTCATTCATCTTTTTCAAATGAGCTCTCATTTGTTCAGTTTTCAAGTGTGCCAAAACTTCAATAATTCATCATACCAGTCATATCCATCATATTGGCTTGTTTCTAAAAGCAGTAGTATTCTTCTGACTTTACACTGCCATAATTTATGATATATTTAGACTGTATAACTGTTCTTGATCTGATTTTAATAAACTCTGAAACATCTGCTGTCTAACAATTTCCTGTTATTGAATATATCCAGGTTATGTGTCTATATTCAACAGACAGCTGACCTATGGCACACCCAAAAGCATATTGGGGTTGCACAACATGGTGACTCACATTTCTTTTTAAAGACCAGTTATTAAAATGTTAAGTGAATAAGACATCTTCCTATCTTGTCATTTTGGGAGACATTTCTCACTTTAAGTAACAGCTTTAGTGTGCTACTACTATCAACAATCTTTGTCTTAGCCCACAGATGAAACATGGTCCCAGAAGTAGTGGCAAAACCGACAAAAAATATTATAAAATAAAAGAAATGTCTTTAGCACAGACACCAGAGAGCTTCAATTTCACAGAACCAAAAGCATGGCTGATATGGAGAGAGCACATTTTTTAAGATACAGAGTCATTGGATGAGGTCTCAAGTGAAAAGCAGTTAAATACTTTATTATATGTTATAGAAAGTGAAGCAAAGAAAATATATAGCACTTTCTCATTCAAGAAGAAAGATGAGGAGAAAAATTTCTAATCAGTAATAGCAAAATTTGACATGTATTTCATACTGAAAAGAAATATAATTTACAAGTGTGACATTCCACTGGAGAACACAGAGCCCAGAAGAAACCACTGAGATATATACTAGAACACTATATATATTAGCAGAATACTATGCATTTGCAAATAAAGAGGATAAAATATGGGACAAATTTGTAATTGGCCTGATTAGGAAAGAACTCTTGGAAAAGCCCCAGTTAATGCCAGACCTCACTTTGGAGAGAGCATTAGAAGGAGCTAGAACATTTGAACAGGTTAGAAAACAAATGACAAACAAACAGGCTATAAACATTGTAGCAGTAAAGAAAAAAGGAATCAAAAAAGACATTTTGAAGAAATAAATATTATCAATAACCAAACAGAAAAAGATTCCTTTGTTCAAGGTGTAATAAAACACATACTATAAGATTATCTGTCGAATTGAAAAATATTTAATAAATATAAAATATGTTAAAAACCAAAGTATTTTGCAGTTTATTGGACGACAAAACTATATGCAATAAAAGAAATTGGTACAAGTAGTAAAGGAGTACAATTTTAGGGAAGTATTAATACAAGTCAAGAACAAATTAACCATGGTCCGTTATGCTATCAATATGTAGAGAAACCACTGTTTTCTTTTAAATTGATACAGGAGTAGACTGTAATGTCACACTGAGGGATGTATTTTTAAAGTGTTACTGGTGAAAGGCATAATCAAAACTCCAGGTGGAATTCTTAACTGCAAAAGATGTTTTGCAACAATGACTCAATATTGTCACAAGAGTTACGAACTTGTAATTCATGTTATAAATGGTAAACACTCATCACATTATATAATAAGCAAAACATGTGCCTAGAAGAAAGTTAATAGTTTCAGATACCTTATCAAGACATCCAATTCAAGATGAAAACAGCACTACAGAAAATGATGTAAAATCACATGTAGACAGTATCTTAGAAACACTACCTGCCTCAGATAGGAATGAATAGATAAAAATAGGAAACAACATGGTGTTAAAAGAGGTAATTCACTTAACAAAGACAAGATGGCACATCACAGAGCAAAATATTAAGGAAAGTACAAAACCTTATTTTAAGCACAAAAGTAAACTGTGGCTACTAAAAGACTTATTTTTCTACCGGAACAGAATAGTTAATAATAATAATCTGCCAACATTATAAGATCAACTTTCAAGACAATCTGTAAAAACATGTTGTGAAAGTGATTTATCATTAACCTGATTTATTGATAATAAATAAGTGATGAATGGTAGAACATTTTATGTGGTCATTCTTAACATTTTTCAAACTGCATTTGAATGGCCACATTACAGATATCAGTGTATTATGACTCTTTTAATCCTCAGGATTAGTTAAGTTTAATCATCCACACCTAATAAGTACAAATGACTGAACTGTACAACAATGCTTTCCAAATGCATTTTATTAGCAATATGCATGCAATCATTTCTGTATAATACATCTATACAGGTTCCAATCAAAATTATAAAAAATCATAATAGATTATCACTCAATATTGAACATATTTTTTACAATTTTTAATAAAGTGTTTAATTTTGACCTTTTAAATACATCAAGTTGACATATCATTTACATCTTTTTATTTTATCCATATATAGTTGTAATAGCTTTGAGTTTCAAAAAAGTATATCTTTTTATTCTGAAAGCTGAATTTTTTCATGCAAGCAATTGGCTTGTTGTAAACAGAAGGGAAAAATATGATTTATAAGTTACTAGCAGTAGAGCCCGGCGTTGCCTGGGGATGTAACAGTAAGAGATAGATCAAGTATCGACCATCATAAAGACTGAAAAATAAAATTGACAAAGATTATTGTTTAAGGTTGACAGACACGCATGTCTTAATTATTTTTTTTTTTTTTTTTTAATTGGTCAAACCCAAATTCAAACAAAACATTGTTCACAATCCTTATGAGTCTATCGATTGGTGAATAGAATTTTATTATAAGCAATTGTCTTGTAAATGGAATTTTTTAAGCATTCTGAAGGAAAAATAAAGAAAAAAAAAAAGACAATAAGAAACACTACCTGCCAAAAAAA